CAGCGGATTGCCTTCTTCCATCAGAGGGAACAATCTTAGTGCTTGTGCTTGCAGTAGATCGCTCATCCTTGACCGCAACAAGTTTCAGTAAGAACTGCGCTCATTATTTGAATAGGCTCTAGCTAAAGATTGAGACTGAAGGGAGAGTGGGTCGTGCAGTCTCTGGGGCCAAGTGAAAGTATAGAACCTGCAAGCGCGAGGTTCCAGTGTCCCCTTCGGCCGTCACGGGGTATCCTCTGGTCACACCGTGGCTGCTACCTAATTTTGTCGTGCAGGACCGATAAACAGCTATAGGAAGCCTTAGCATAGCAACGGGTAAATGAAATCCAAGAAGTACTTCCAACTTTGTCAAGGAAAACGAAAAGGAACACCCCGATTTAGGCACTGTCGCCAGCCAACAATAAGTAACTCTAAGCCGGACAGACCCGAACTTAAGATACAGGTTCCGCTGGATTGGATTCAGACTCCCTATCAGTTGAGTCGCCGATTCACGCTCTGTCGGCTGCATTTCATTCATATATTTTTAGCACATCAACAGTTAGTAGAAGGTCATTTTGGTGTGTGAGCGCCTGTCAGCATAAAAGTACTGCATCAGTTGTTTTTCTCAAATCCGATTTGAACTCTCTCAATTCAAAATGATTACAAGCTAAAATGAGTGAATACAGAAGATGAACTTACTTTGGTCAAAATCATATATCTGATGCACGATGTGAGACCAGTATCGTGTATTCTGCTGATTCATCTTTTTCGGTTTCTCAAGAAGTGCAGAAACAACGGACTCGATGTGGCATTTAAATTCCTTCGGAGTTAGGTTTTCCAGTAAGTCCTGAAAATTAGCAATGGTATATGAAGGCTCCTGGGAATATCATATTTTCACATATTGATCGTTCGATTCGTCAAAATGCAGATCAATATTTATTTACATAGCGGGGAGACTCGAACACGGCTGATTCTTTTGCGCGAAGGAAAACTCTGTTTTCGACCATGTTTTTTTCATTGTATTTTTCTGTGACAAGCATGTGACTGTCATACTTATAGAATTCACTTAAAACCCTTTCTTATCACTAAATAGTCACAGCTCTACGGGACTGTTTTGTGGGGGCTCATGAAACTAACAAAAAACTGCAAAAGTCCGATGATGGTGGAGAGCTGCGGAAAGGTGAGTTTTCTTTCTTTCATTCATT